GCGGCTCTAAATGAAAAACCTACCGACTCTCCGCAATGATTCTTCATTCGCAGTTTAATTTAGCATTTCAGTTTCGAAGACAAGGGCAATTTTGCTGTTTAAGATAAAGATTAAGCTTATCGAAACGTTTGAACTACACGAAAGAATGCCAGGGATGGGATCCGCTGAATATCAAGCGACAATCCCGCTAAATTTTTTCATCATTATACATAATTATGCGAATGTTTAGACAATCAACCAATCAAAATCACTACCCGGTTTTCGGGTGGTGAGTGATGTCAGTGGACGGCATTAACGGCAGGTCGATTTAGACGTTACTGAGTGAGTAATAACGACTCGAAGTAATCGGATGAAATTCAGGCCAATACCAGAAATTTCAGTAAAAAATATCAGCAAATTTTTTTACTAGACGCAATTTTCTTTGAACAGTAGGGTTCTCTTAAGCGCTAATTTAGCAAAATATATTTACCATCGACGAAATCGGAATATTTCGTACCATTGCCGAATGATATCTGCTGTTCTCTGCAAAGTTTCTCAGCCATCGCGTTAAAAACTAAAAAGTTATGACGAAAACTTCGTCACAGCTAAATGTGCCTGTATTAATGATGGAGCGAGCTTAAAGTTTAGAAATGCAGTTTCAAACACGTTAAGGTTGATATGAACAGTTTATTAGTGATACTCACGCTTAACGTTAATGTGCCACCCAGAAGCGCATTTAGCTTGAAACAAAAGATAAGATCAGTGATTGAAAGCCTATCTCAGGTCTCCGCCATCGTTATGGTTCCTTAGATAGCAACCTTTACCGAAAAAATCACACACGCGGGGTACCCTTACCAGCCTCTGTATTTTACGAAGGGGATGCTTGGGTGATACATTACGTTATAGGAAATGAGTTGAGTTGCGGCCATGGCCTCTTCTGTCCCCCAAGTTACTTTGATTTAGTAGCATTAAAGCATATTAACAAGAATCGCTTGAAATGGTTTTAAATGCAATGATTTGTTATAAACAGCCGTTGTAGAACAACAGGAAGGAACACCAACTGCATCAGTAGCAGGAAACCATGAAGGAGAAAGTGGAGCCACTGCTGATAACAAACGATTTGGAAAACAATCAAATGGTAAGAATATCATCTTTGTCTTAGCTATTATTTTCCATACAATTATTGGATAGATACATTGATTTTGACGTCGTATTAACACACTAAACAGCTACTCTTTTCCACAAATAAAAACAACAAATTCGAAGAAAGTGTTGTGTGGTCGATATAGCTAATAACAATCTATTTAACCTAAATTGTATAGCAATTCCTATTTAACTGTCCACTGCATCGGGAAAAAGCCTCAGCAGAAGGTCCCGAAGAAAAGGCCACTTGAGAAACGAATAATTAATTATTGCATTTCTAAATACTTTCTCCCATAATATTTAAAATATATCGTTTTTGTCCTTCCTCCGATGTGTCGTTATTTCAGATAACCATTCTAACGAACAAAGCAAGCAAGGTAACGAGGGACGCGGGCGAAGATCATCACTGAAGCACGAGAAGAGCCATGCAATGGTATCAAAGGGAAGAGGGAAGCCTCCTGGTAAGAGCAAAGACCACATAGGCATTTTTACGAGGAAACAACGCGAGGTCAAGGACGGAAGAAATAAAAAAGGATAACTAGCTTTTGCCATAAAAACTCTGAAACTCCGATCCGTTAATTTATTCCCACGATCAGTAAGACTCGAAAGAATATAGCACTTATGTGGGAAATATACGGGGAAGGACCATGGGCTGATTTTTTACAAAACTAGTAACACATTTGCAACAATGCCTTATAACACTTGCTGCTCTCATGACAATATCTATATTTTTTATAATGAAGTGCTGGAAAATTTCTTACCAGTATGATATCTGTTGGGTAGTCGCGTATGATAGGATAAACTCGATAACGCACATTAATTTATGCTGGAAACGTTTTTTTAAAACACAGATGCTAAAAACCAAGACCATCGACCCCCAAGGCCTGGTATTATAAACCTAAAACCCGGTTTATCACAGACCAATACACGTCCTCCTGCTCAGGAACCGTTTCGGGCGAAAGTTGCTTCCTTCGACCCCAAAGTGTTGAAAGAAAAAGAAAGTAGGCAGGTAGTCCAAGTGTTGAATGAGGAACTACCTTACCTGAAATTCCTTCTTCGATGTCAACAACAGCAGCGCAACAGCGGTGAATTCATTTACGACCTTACATGCACTTTAGCAAGAGCCTGTGAAGCGCCATCAGGCGAAAACACGAATAAGATTATAGCGGCACTTAAAGGCTCTCTTTTCTTGACTTCAAAAATTCCCAGTCTTTTTTATCTTGTTGAAGCATCACCTTCAATGAATGACCAAGTCTTTCTTCACAGGCTTTTTCAGAGTTTCATTGTGGTGTTCATGAAATACCTTAACCACTTGTCTAGCTTGTATGCTGACCTGCCGTACAGTCAGTTAAAAGAGGCCTTAGATCAGGCAAACATTGATAGATAAGACAAGCTACTGAAAGATCTTGATGCTTTCAAACAAGCGAGAGAAGATATCATTAGAAGCCGGAAAGGCGGAGGAAAGGAAAACGTTATAAGCGTGGAGAAAGGCCACCAAACGATTTTAGAATAGTACCTGTTTGTCCCACTAACAAAGAAATCACGACTCAAGAACGACCTTTCTTACGCAAGAACATTTCAAGAGGAAGATACGAAGCCGAACACTACCTAGATGTCCAGTTTCGGCTGCTTCGGGTAGACTTTCTTGAACCACTTAGAGAAGGAATCCATGACTGAAATTATCCGGAATATACCCAGACACCAACGTAAGCAGTTGATGAAAAACTAACGCAGCGTACGAATCATCGGCAAAGAATTCACCTGGGGTGGTATAATTCATCAAGTCCAAATCGATGTTTCCAGAGTAGATACCAGCAGGTGGCCAAAATCCAAAATAATCCTGTTTGGTTCATTTCTTTGTCTTTCAAAAGACAACTTCAAGACTATGCTTTTTGCCACGGTTTCTAATCGTGATGAGGGAAACGTGAAGGAAGGACGAATCGATATTCGATTTATCGAAGAGCAAGATGTTCGGAGTATCGAGAGCCGCAATCACGTTTACCAGATGGTTGAGTCTCCCGCTTACTTCGAAATTTTGTGTGTGTGCTCGGGGGCTTTGAAAAATCGGTGAGGTCAAGGGGAAGGCGTAAACTCTGGCTATAGAGCTAAGGGCCTGATTACATGAGCCGGTCTGAATCGCTTTGCAGAGATCCCGGTACCTTAGTTAAACGCAACAAAAATCAACTTTGCGATTATACGGCAACCGAGCCAGCCCGGTTAGCTGGGATCCCGGTATTGTGATGCCGCGATCCCGGGTGGAAATTTTCTAAGTAATCACGCTTGGCAGGCGGCCCGGCGAATTTTTCAAGCGAGAAACAGGACAGCGGGTAACACACTGTTCATGCGCATTGCTTCACCGGCTCATGTGATCAGACCCTCACTGTGAGTTGTATTGTCTCGCCGTTTGCGCGTGAAAGCTTTGGAATTTGCCGCTGTGTTGCAGATGAATTCCTTGCTTGGTTCGTATGTCTACGTTTGCGGAGTAACGTAGCGTTCAGGACTGATAGAAAATTTCGCTCTGACTTTTTTCAGATGACCACCACAGGAAAGAAGACAAAAAAGAACGCAAGGGGAGAAAGGGTAAAAAAGGCAACATCCAGGGGAAAAAAAAAACAAGTCTGGGTGAGTATAGGTTCACTCTGTCTACTCCTGATGACCTGGAGATGATTAGCATTATTCTCGTAGAACTAATTCGACAATTTAACACTGTGTGGAATAGTACTATCAATCGAATAGTTAAAGTTTAGAAATGCAGTTTCCAACACGTTAAGGTTGATATGAACAGTTTATTAGTGATACTCACGCTTAACGTTAATGTGCCGCCCAGAAGCGCATTCAGCTTGAAACAAAAGATAAGTTTGTTTCAATTGTTACCAATTTATAAGAACAGTGACTCTTATAGGAAAACATCACCCACCTAAATTTTGTTTTCAAAATTTGAGGTTTGAATCGTCGAGGTAGACGATTATTACAATGTCAGCAAACAAAAACTATTCACAGAGTTGGGGTAGTAACAACATCAAACTATATTGTGATTCTCTAGACTTCTTTGAGATCATAATATCAGTGATTGAAAGTCTATCTCAGGTCTCCGCCATCGCTATGTTCCCTTAGATAGCAACCTTTACCGAAAAAATCACACATGCGGGGTACCCTTACCAGCCTCTGTATTTTACGAAGGGGATGCTTGGGTGATACATTACGTTATAGGAAATGAGTTGAGTTGCGGCCATGGCCTCTTCTGTCCCCCAAGTTACTTTGATTTAGTAGCATTAAAGCATATTAACAAGAATCGCTTGAAATGGTTTTAAATGCAATGATTTGTTATAAACAGCCGTTGTAGAACAACAGGAAGGAACACCAACTGCATCAGTAGCAGGAAACCATGAAGGAGAAAGTGGAGCCACTGCTGATAACAAACGATTTGGAAAACAATCAAATGGTAAGAATATCATCTTTGTCTTAGCTATTATTTTCCATACAATTGTTGGATAGATACATTGATTTTGACGTCGTATTAACACACTAAACAGCTACTCTTTTCCACAAATAAAAAAAAACAAATTCGAAGAAAGTGTTGTGTGGTCGATATAGCTAATAACAATCTATTTAACCTAAATTGTATAGCAATTCCTATTTAACTGTCCACTGCATCGGGAAAAAGCCTCCGCAGAAGGTCTCGAAGAAAAGGCCACTTGAGAAACGAATAATTAATTATTGCATTTCTAAATACTTTCTCCCATAATATTTAAAATATATCGTTTTTGTCCTTCCTCCGATGTGTCGTTATTTCAGATAACTATTCTAACGAACAAAGCAAGCAAGGTAACGGGGGACGCGGGCGAAGATCATCACTGAAGCACGAGAAGAGCCATGCAATGGTATCAAAGGGAAGGGGGAAGCCTCCTGGTAAAAGCAAAGACCACATAAGTGTTGTTTGGGCAACCCCCTCCACGCTCCAGGCATTTTCACGAGGAAACAACGCGAGGTCAAGGACGGAAGAGATAAAAAAAGGATAACTAGCTTTTACCATAAAAACTCTGAAACTCCGATCCGTTAATTTATTATGTGGGAAATATACGAGGAAGGACGAATTAATTTTCCCTTGGGCTGATTTTTTACAAAACTAGTAACACATTTGCAACAATGTCTTGTAAAACTTGCCGCTGTCATGACAATATCCATATTTTTTTTAATGAACTGCTGGAAAATTTCTTACCGGTATGATATCAGTTGGGTAGTCGCGTATGATAGGATAAACTAGATACGCACATTAATTTATGCTGGAAACGTTTTTTTATAACACAGATGCTAAAAACCAAGACCATCGACCCCCAAGGCCTGGTATTATAAACCTAAAACCCGGTTTATCACAGACCAATACACGTCCTCCTGCTCAGGAACCGTTTCGGGCGAAAGTTGCTTCCTTCGACCCCAAAGTGTTGAAAGAAAAAGAAAGCAGCCAGGTAGTCCAAGTGTTGAATGAGAGACTACCTTACCTGAAATTCCTTCTTCGATCTCAACAACAGCAGCACAACAGCGGTGAATTCATTTACGACCTTACATGCACTTTAGCAAGAGCCTGTGAAGCGCCATCAGGCAAACACACGAATAAGATTATAGCGGCACTTAAAGGCTCTCTTTTCTTGACTTCAAAAATTCAAAGTGTTCTTCATCTTGTTGAAGCATCACCTTCAATGAATGACCAAGTCTTTCTTCACAGGCTTTTTCAGAGTTTCATTGTGGTGTTCATGAAATACCTTAACCACTTGCCTAGCTCGTATGCTGACCTGCCGTACAGTCAGTTAAAAGACGCGTTAGGTCAGGCGACCATCGATGGAAAAGAAAAGCTACTGAAAGATCTTGATGCTTTTAAACAAGCGAGAGAAGATATCATTAGAAGTGAAAGGGAGAGGAAAGGAAAACGTTATAAACTTGGAGAAAGGCCACCAAACGATTTTAGAATGATACCCGTTTGTCCCACTAACAAAGAAATCACGACTCAAGAACGACCTTTCTTACGCAAGAACATTTCAAGAGGAAGATACGAAAATGTCGAACACTACCTAGATGTTCAGTTTCGGCTGCTTCGAGAAGACTTTCTCGAGCCACTTAGAGAAGGAATCCATGAAATTATCCGGGATATACCCAGACACCAACGTAAGCATTTGATGAAAAACTACCGGAGCGTACGAATCATCGGCAAAGAATTCACTTGGGGTGGCATCATTCATCAAGTCCAAATCGACGTTTCCAGAATAGATACCAGCAGGTGGCCGAAATCCAAAAGACTCTTGTTTGGTTCATTTCTTTGTCTTTCAAAAGACAACTTCAAGACTATGCTTTTTGCCACGGTTTCTAACCGTGATGAGGGAAACGTGAAGGAAGGACGAATCGATATTCGATTTATCGAAGAGCAAGATGTTCGGAGTATCGAGAGCCGCAATCACGTTTACCAGATGGTTGAGTCTCCCGCTTACTTCGAAGCCTATCGCTATGTTCTCAGGGGATTGCAGGAACTAGATGAAGAATCGTTGCCATTTAAGAAATATCTGGTTGAGTGCAGTGCAGAAGTTGATCCACCAGAGTATCTAAGACGCGATGAGACTGAGGGGCCGGTATGTTACGATCTTAGCAAGGCCCTTGATGTCCCTGATGTACCAAATGCTACAGCAGTACCTGTTTTACAATGTGATGCCTGGCCACCGGTCAGAAAACTCCCTTTGAATAGCTCCCAGCTCGAAGCACTGAGAACAGCAATCACAACTGAATTTTCTGTAATTCAGGGACCACCAGGAACGGGAAAAACATACGTCGGGGCCAGAATCGTTAGATGTTTGCTTGAGAATCGACAGTTGTGGGACCCCTACTTTATCTCACCGATGCTTATGGTCTGTTACACAAATCATGCCCTCGATCAGTTTTTGGAAAAGGTGTTAGAATTCTTACCTAAAGATAGAATCATTCGTGTTGGGGGAAGATGCAAAAGCGAGGATCTACAGGATTGCAATCTGAAAAGGTTTACCTACCAACACAGGTTGTATGACAAACGCGATGAGCTGAGGTACAAGATGCAGGCAAATAATGAAGAAATGAAAACATTGAAGGAAAAACTGGCAAAGGCAGACCGCCAGCTCTTGGAATTTGATGACTTAGAAGAGCTATTGTACAGAACACATGCTCAGGAACTTTACAATACCGTTTTCCCCACTAAGGTAGCAACCGTGTCTCGGACACCAAGAAATACATTCAGATTGTGGTTATGTGACAACAAAATGGTTGGTTCATGTAACAGAACTTTAAGTGAGTCAGTGCATCAAAAACGCCGTATTGAAGACGATGATGTGTCTTATGACTCATCTATATTGTACGAACCACTTGATGGCCGTGACAATACCCAACCAACATGTGTAACAAGAGACTCCTCAACAGGAGTGAATCTATTGCCTAACGGAAGCCATAAGACAAAGGACGTCGTTTTGAAGGAGGAAGTGCCAAAAGAAACCTCAGATGAGTGTACACTGCAAAGGTGTTTATCAGTTGAACATGGCCAAACCTTAAAGATGAATCAGTCACCCGTAAATTCTCCCAGAGAGGCACAATTCAAAGTCACCGAAAACCCTCGAACTGTGCCAGAACTCGATTACGTGAGCAAGGCTTTTGAAGAGACCATAGCTATAGAAATGGAAGCTGATCTAATACAACATCAAAGAAAGATACAAGGTGATGAAGAGCTCCAGTCACCAATATCAAAGCTACAAGGCGATGTCTTAACCCGCAGAAGAGAACCAAAGGAAGAAACGGATGAACGTTGGACTCTGGTGACCAAGAAAAATGGAAAATCATTGCCTTGGAGGAGAAGAGAAGAAAGTAGAGAAGAGAACGCGACAGGGGCTAGCAGCAACGAATCCCAAACGAAACAGGAAAACAAAAAGGGAAAAGAAAAAAACGGAGAAAAAATTTGTATCACTGAGGACATTTCTTCTTTAACAGGGAAGCTGAAAATGACTGAAATGATGTCGACTGAAGAAGCGGTGCACGTTGATAGCATTTGGAACTTATCACCACTGGATCGGCTTCGAATATACCTCTTCTGGGTTGAGAGCTACCGCGAACGTTACAGAGTAGAAATTCATCGAACCGAACAGGAGTATGAACAGCTTTGCGAAGCTCTAGAGGCAGTTAGGTTTGAAGAAGAAGAACGGGTCATACGCCAGTCGACTGTAGTTGGAATGACAACCAGTGGTGCCGCTAGATATCATTCCGTGCTTCAGAGGATAGCACCTAAGATAGTAGTGATTGAAGAGGCTGCTGAAGTGATGGAAGCCCACATTATCACATCCCTTTCTAAAAACACTAAGCACACGATTCTCATCGGAGACCACAAACAGCTCCGACCAAAAGCAACAGTGTATGAGTTAGCCCAGAAGTACAATCTGGAGGTCTCACTGTTTGAACGAATGGTAATAAACAGCATGGATTGTAAACGTCTATCTATACAGCATCGTATGCGTCCTGAGATTGCTGCGCTAACAAAGCGAATCTATGATCATGAAATAACAGACCATGAATCAGTTTGCCATTTTCCAGACATATCTGGCGTTTGCCATAACCTCTTCTTTATTGACCATAGCCAAATGGAGACCCGGATAGAATTTCTGCAGAGCTACTCTAACGATCACGAAGCTGATTTCACTGTAGCCCTTTGTAATTACCTTTTACTTCAAGGATACGAACGCAAGAAGATCACTGTATTAACCATGTACACCGGACAGTTGCTACTTCTTCAAGAAAAAATGCCAAAACGTAACTTCGGTGGAGTGAAAGTTTGCGCAGTTGACAACTTCCAAGGGGAAGAAAATGACATCATTCTTCTGTCGCTAGTTAGAAGCAATAAAGAAGGTCGGATTGGTTTCCTAGGTGAGTCCAACAGAATATGCGTCGCATTATCACGAGCACGCAAAGGATTTTATTGTATTGGAAACTTTAATCTACTGAATAGCCATTCAAAGCTGTGGAAAGAAATATGTGATGATCTAAGAACAAAACAATCCATTGGTGACAAATTACAGCTGATTTGCAAGAGACACAAGGCAATTACTAGCGCCAGATGGGCAAGTGACATAACCCTCTGCCATCTTGGAGGATGCACTATGCCCTGTGGAGATCGCCTAGACTGCGGCCATGCGTGTGACAAGCTGTGCCATGCTTCAGACGAATATCACATGGCGGGGTGCTGTTCCAAATTGTGCGTCAACGCGTGTCCCAGCAATCACAGATGCCAAAGCCGGTGTCATTACCCAGATAAGTGTCCCAAATGCAAAGTTCCTGTGCTCAAGACACCCACCTGTGGTCATGAACAGCCTGTTGAATGTGGAAGCGATCCCGATGAAGTCGAGTGTCAGTTTGAATGCGAGAAGATACTTGAATGTGGACACAGATGTCAGAACCCATGTGGTTCTTCATGTACCGAAGAATGTAAAGTTTCCTGCAAGAAAATTCTCCCATGTGGACACGAAAAAAGTATGTTTTGTTACAGGGATCCCAATTTTTTTCAGTGTAACAGCAGGTGTACAAAACTTCTGGAATGTGGTCACCCTTGCTCAAAGAAATGTGAAGAATCTTGTCAATGCAATACTGAAGTTGAAAAAGAATTACCTTGCCAGCACAGGATACGGGTCCTTTGTAGAGAGAAAGAATTCGAAGTAACATGCACGGAAAAATGCAGTCGAACATTAGAATGTGGCCATAGTTGTCCCGGAATCTGCTTTGAAGATTGTAAATTGAAAAAATGTGACATAAATGTTTCCAAACACCTACCATGTGGCCACGAAGAGAGTGCTCCTTGCTGTCAAGACCCAAAAACGGTCTTTTGTTACGCTCCCTGTCCACGGCCACTGGACTGCGGACACAAGTGCTCATCAATTTGTGGCGTTTTATGTTACGAGGTTCAATGTAAAGAATTGTGTCTAAAGAAGTGTAAAAGAGGTCATTCGTGCCAGAAGCCCTGCCATTTTCCTTTACCGTGTGATTGTACAGAAGTAGTAAATATCTCGATTCCTACTTGTGGACACAGTGTTAACACGCCCTGCTATGTTGATCCAGAAACTCTGAAATGTGAAAGGTCATGTGAGAAAGTGAGATTGTGTGGACACCCTTGTAAAGACATATGTAGTAATAACTGCGAAACTAGTCCTTGCAACGTACCTGTACGCAGAACCCTACCATGCAATCACATAGTGGCTTTACCTTGTCATAAGAACACCAAGGAGTACATTTGCAAGAAAGAAGTAGAGGCATGTTTGCCATGTGGACATAAGACGAGTTTGGAATGCCGTGTCGTAAGGGCTGGGTTGGAGCATGTCTCTTGCAAGCAAAAGGTGGAGAGAGAATTAGGATGCAGACATAAAATCACTCTTCCCTGCTTCAAAAATCCTGAGGAGTGCATCTGCCGAAAGAAAGTTGACGTTGAGCTTTCATGTGGACACACCAAGACGGTTCCATGTCACACTGTGACTGCAGGATTGGAAAATGTGCTTTGTAATGTTAAAGTATCACGGATGTTACCTTGCAATCACGAGGTGACCCTTTCATGTCATATAAAACCCGAGGAGTATCACTGTCAGGAGGAGATCGAAATCACGCTCTCTTGTGGACACAATTACCTTACGAAATGTGGCGATTCGCGGGATGAACGGCAAAAAGAAACATGTAACACAAAGGTGACCAAAACACTTCCTTGTGGTCATGAAAAGCAGATGAAATGCTCAGACAAACCTGAAGAGGTATGGTGTGATGCTCCTTGTAAACGCTTTCTACTATGTGGACATCCTTGCCCTAAAAAATGTGCTGAGCAATGCTCTGGTGTCAAATGTGCTGTTGAAGTTAGAAAGGCTTTGAGCTGTGGATACCACGAGATTAGCTGTCTTTGTTCTAAGGATGTGTCACAGTGTATTTGTTCAAATTCGTGTGAGCGGAACTTGACTTGTGGTCATCGATGTCCTGGTAAGTGCTCTGAAGAATGCGGCCAGTACGAGTATAAGTGCCGGACTATTGTGATGAAGACTCTCAGTTGTGCAGGGAAACACTCCCTTCAAATGCTTTGCAAAGACGACCCATCCACAAGAAAATGTGAAGAACGTTGCAAACGGAATCTGAACTGTGGTCACCCGTGTCCAGGGCTTTGTAGTCAACCGTGTGGAAGTATGAATTGCACACGACAAATAGAGAAGACACATCCCTGTGGTCACAAGGAGTATTTAAAATGCTTTCAAAGCAAAAATGCAACCTGTAAGGTACCTTGTGAGCGCCGAATGAATTGTAAACACAAGTGTAAAGGTGTCTGTGGTGAGCCTTGCTCGAAATATCCTTGCGATGTAGTTGTAAGTAAAACACTATCGTGTGGTCATAAGGTCAAGATGGCTTGTAGCTTGTCTGTTGACGATGCTAAGTGCCCTGTTCCATGTAGACAACAGCTGTCGTGCGGACACCAGTGCTCTGGGACATGTGGCGACTGTAAACAAAAGAGATCACACGAAATGTGCCAAAACCCATGTAACCGTCTTCTGGTTTGTTCACATCGCTGTCGAGCATTGTGCGGTGAGCCTTGCCCACCGTGTACCAGAAATTGCGGTCGACGCTGCCCTCACAAAAAATGCAGTCAACAATGCTCAGAACCATGCAATCCATGTTCGAAACCATGCACCTGGATTTGTCGTCATTACGCCTGCAAAAATACGTGTGGAGAAGAGTGCGATCGTCCTCGATGTGACGCCCCCTGCACCAAGAAGCTCCCTTGTCGCCACCCCTGTGTTGGCCTTTGTGGAGAAAACTGTCCCACTGTGTGTGCTACTTGCCATGTCGAAACGTTTTCTTCTATAATTGGTCGTGAAACGGAAAAAGCAAAATCCAGTAGATTTCTACAGCTTTTTGATTGTGGTCACATAGTGAAGGTTGAAGAGATGGATGCGTGGATGCTTCGTGACTGGGGAAATACTGTTCAACTCATTCATTGCCCCAGGTGCTCCACACCGATCACCTTTAGTTACAGATATGGAAACATCATCAAGAGGACACTAAAAAATACTGAAAAAGTGAAAGCACATATACACCAGCTTGGGAATGAAACTGCCAGAGAGGTCAGGGACCTTGTGGAAAAGCTACGTCGATATCAATTCGACCTGCAAACGATGAGGTTCCCCAAAACCGTCCTTAATGAGTTTTCTCAGAGTGCTTCAAGGCAACCTTACCGAAGGGCAGTCAATTTTCATGTTCCTCCGATTAAATTTATTTCTTTACTGTACATTCTTAGAAATCATCTGATTGTCATGCAACAAATAAAAAAGGAGCAATACAGATTGCAACACATGATATTGCCAGCGGCAAATTCAGAAGGGTCCGCAACTGTTTTGAAACAACAAATCGACGATATCAAAGATGTCCTGACAGAGAAGTCAGAGTACCTAAAGACTCCTGAGTTGGAGCTGAGAACCCTTAACCAAGTGTATGAGTACACATGGAAGTTGGCGCTTTTCACTTCAATTCTTGAAGCCAAATCCATGGCAATCAGGCGCCGGATAAATTTCTCTGTTAGTGGACAAAGGCACTTAAAAATCGTTCAAGAAAAATTTGATTCGTTTGTTCAAGGATCTGATGAAGACCTAGAAATTAACTGGTTGGAAACAATCGCCCCTGAGGTGAGGAAAGAGGTACGCCTCCTACCACCACCCAAGGAAGAACCCAAAGACTTTGAGAACTTTCCAGGTTTTAATAGTGAAATATGGAGAGTATGTGAACACCGTGAAGTGGTTTTCACCAAGTCACTCATGCGAAGGGGACAAAATATTACTGAGGTGCACGGAACATGCAAAGAGTGCGTCGACTTGGCAGCAAAACAAGAGAAATGAAGGCGAAGCAAAGTGGAGGGTTGCTTGGTGAACTAAAGCCTTCGCCTTCTTGAGGAATGTGTGGAACACTCTATCTGAAAAAAAAAACACTACACTTAAACTGAAAGACCTAAAGAAAAAGCAACTCTAGATACCATAAAAACCCGCGTGTAATAACCTAGATTTTTCCAACTTAGCCTAAATAGGTTAATTTGATAGGGGCACTATCAGTCAGCACAGATAAATACCACAGGGCATAGTATTTGATATGGAATATACTTTGCTGCATTAAATAACTATCTAGAAGACAGTTTCTATGTGCTTCAAAAATCTGACTTTGAAAATGAGAGAGACACATGGGTCTGTATTTTTAATACCGTATTTCCTCGAAAAATAGCCGCGGGCGATTATTTCTTTCTTTGCATTATAAGGGGGCGATTATTCGAGGGAGGCGATTGTTTCAAATATTGCTCACTGGAAGCCGTGTCCTAAATATTTTGTTTTATTATCCCATTAAATTAAAAAAAATTATCACATCAAATGAACTGAACATGAGCTTTCAAGTGTTCCAAATTTGGTTCTTTGATAAATTTACAGAGCTTGAATCATCACTGATCAGTTTTCCTGGATCAGATTCCCCTTCACTCTTCAACTTGACAGGGAGGGTATAAAAGAAAGAGAAGATGGCGAGAGGGGTGGGGGCGATTATTTGAGGGAGGCGATTATTTCCGAAATATTTCCTTCAAAGGAGGGCGATTATTCGAGGGAGGCGATTTACCGAGGGACGGCTATTATTCGAGGAAATACGGTAATTCCATTGTTTAATCCAGTATTGGCAAAGACGTGATATGGTTTTCATTTTAGTCCATTCTTTAAATCTTACTGACTCAAAGCTAGACTAAAATTTTTTTTCTGTATTTTCATCTGTGCATTCATTTTTGGAAAATAAGAATCTATTGAAAACTCTAGGCTAAATAGAATCGTGTGAAAAGGGGGTTTAAAATGAAAATGTTAGCCTCACAGGTTCTTAAATTTTAGGTTCTTATATACGGGTTTTTACTGTATATTTCTTAAGAACAGTGATAGAGCACTGAAAATCAGGTTAAAAAACAGACAAAATGAAAGCAGGCCAGTAAACAGCACAAAGTTCTGTGAACGTGTGTTTGGACGGTGATAAAATGCGTCAAAAATAAAAAAAAATCATTTAATAAAATGTTCGACCAAGAAACGATTTATCTTCAGAGGATAAAAGGGACAATCGCTTTATCCTCTCTTGGAAGCCTTATGATGATTGTTGCAAAGTTTTCACTGTATTAACAGTATCGCGTTCTAAGACAATTGAGACTTCCGCTCCTGAGTGCAAAACAGAGAAGGTCTTCAAAGGTGCAATGACTGATCATCCTGAGAAATGAAAAGCAGCGAACGACTTGCACGGAGCTAACAACCAAGGTAACATCCAGTCAGTACCAAGGGAAGTTCATCTTTCAGACATGAACGAGAATCTCGTGAAAATGTAAAAATTGTATATAGGTTAAAACTTTCGAGATTTTGGACAAAACCCATACAAGGAAGGGATAAAGATGAACGTTTCGTGCAAAGATTATGGTAACATTTTCCATTTGTCCTAATCAAGGACAAAACTAAGAATAGATGTAGCAGCCACGAAGCAATATCAGAAATATATTTTGTTTCCCTCAGTTGTAGCATACAGAATAAGACACTTAGACGATACGTGTTTTACTGAATGCTTGTCCTAAAGAAGACTTCGTAGAATAATATTCCTGGCAGTACGCTTTTATTGACCTGAGAAGCAGAGCATCGTTACCAATCAGGATAATCAGGTGGTAAATATTAAATAAAATTTTAACACCTATCAAAAAATGTTAAGCCAGGAAAAATGGCGTTGTGCATTTATCTCCTTTCCCATAGCCTTGCCTTTGATAGCATTAGAAGCCTACCTTACAGATGTTTCTTACCGGCAATAGGTTATGTAAAACCTTGTAAAAAAAACAACCCTGCCTGGAAGTCAAACGTCTTATTATTTGTATCATGTAAATGGGCATTTGTTTTGAGACAAAAACTGCTATAAGTTAAGAATTCGAGTAGTCCCCCGTTTTGCCCAGGGATAGTTAAACGGAACGCAATAGGTGAGTGCGCGTGTCGAAGGTGGATCGCTAAGCCCTGAGACACGAGGACCGTTATGACATGATAGTGTTACTAATTGCGTGTAAAAATGGAAACTCCTGAGAAATAGGTGGGTTGCAGCATGTTTATCAGTGCTGTAACAAAAATGGGAGACGGTTTGGCCTATTGTCACGAAATCAATCTCGAACCGATGGAACATAGGCATCAAGCATTTTTCACACTGAGAAAATCGTCTCCCTAAGCAAATTGACTCTCTGACAAAAATTCAAATAGCAGTCTCTCCATTTTTTCTGACTAACTGTAAATCTAGAGGCGGCCTAGCAATTAGTACTAGTCGTAAATGGTGAAACTGTCCCGGGGGGTACGTACTTGGATTAATTTTTGCTTTATATGTGCCGCTGGACTCTCAGAGCCCCTACCCCATTATAGTCTATTTTGTGGCCAATTATAGACCCCGTCTTACAGATTTTAGTCACTTTTGGGCAAATGTAACTAGTTTCCCAATACTAAATAACTTAGTCACTTTCTATTTATGTATCTACCTTATCAATCCTTTAAAATGAATTGACCCATTTTTGAAATTAGATGAAGAACATTTCACTTTTCACCCACAGTACAAATTTTCTGGTACGTTTGCTAACCGTAAACATTCTTACCCCAAAAAATCGAAAATGTGCGACCCCATTTCGTTAACTCTATTGAAATAAAATCAAATCGAATCACTGGTTTATTGTACCTTTTGCAGTCAGAAGAATGAATTGTAGGATACCTTACAAGCTGTGATATATATATACTATTACGCTACATTTATTGACAAGATTGATATTTAACACTAACAAAATTTTAGAAACGTTCAGTCCTTGTGGCCATGGGCCTGCTAAACCTCCCTGATGTTAGACACACACTGGTAGATATAGGTACCACTCTGTTGTGTATTAGTGGGTATAATGGGTTACCTGGCCGCACCTTACCTATAAATTTAATACACGAGACTGCCCGACGATGCGACCCATCCAGCGGCACATCCCTATCATTCTCTTATAAGGAAGTACCCTCCGGGGTCAATGTATCTGATGGGCAGCCAAGAATGACGTGAGCTTTAGTTACAACTGATATGATCAAGCTTGTGTTCCACCACAACGAAATTGAGCAAAGCACTCCCTAAGTGACTCCGGTGGTAAAGATAACCCACATGTTAAATGGTTATTGTATTGTAATATTTCAAAACAGTAGGCCAGGCCTTTCATAACTTAGGGTGTTCAAGGGAAGATAAAGGAAGAAAAATCAATAATTCTTCATTTCTTTTCCCCATTGAAGCTTCAACAGATATGAACGAATTAAAGAACAATGCTTATATATTTCAAGCCCATATGAAGGGGGGGCTTAATGGAGACGGGGGGCTTATTTTAATTTAGAAACAACGATGGGATCAATTCTCCATAAAGAACTAGAATACAACGTGGAAAAGCTCAAGTACAAGACGTTTTAGATCATGCAGCCGAGGATCAGAATCAATTGGTAAGTAAACCATCTTGGATCAGTCCACACGAAGTTTTACAGTCGTGATTGATTAATACAGTCTATCATTTGTCAGTGAAGAATAAATAGGGGAGGGTGGGCTAAATAGAGAGTGGGGGCTTGTTAACTTTCTTTCCCTGAAAAGGGTGGGGGGCTTATTAGAGGGAGGGGGCTTACTGTGAGAGGGGGGGCTAAATAGAGGATTCACGGTACCTGTATTCGCGTTTGCATCTCTTCTCCTTCCCCAGCCACGACCTCTTCCTCTGCCATAATTTTCCCTGCGATCCATGGATCAAGTTCATTCAAGGCAAACCTGTACTGTACCTCACTATGCTTTCATTATGGCGACAATATAAGTTTGTTTTGCAGTAAAAGCTAAGAGAAAAACAGAGCTACTAGTTATCCTTTAAAAAGAATTCCACGAGCTGTAAAATGTCCGCCATGTTTTGCCTGTTTCTCGGAATAACAGGAAGTGGTTCTCAGAATCAAGTTTTGATGCATGATTGGCCGATACGATTAGAGCTAGTTGTCAGTTTGAAGCCTTAGCGAAGGGGAAGAACGGATAGGACCATTCGCAAATGGTTTATGGAAATGTAAAAACAATAAGCAAAATCATTTGGACGCATTTTTATAGCGCATACGGTAATTGCATCGTAAGACTGGTTTCAACATTATCTATCGCTGGTTCCTTAAATACCGGTAAGTAAACGTTGGACGTCAAAAAACTGACGCATGCCGGCGACATGCATTGGACTTGCATTCCATCATCTATAATTCCGCTGTCCAATTACAATTTTCCCTCATTGGTTTGAATGTCAACATCTGCTTTGAATCAGCAATTTTGGAGACAGTTTCTAAGAATACAACTGGATATTTCAATCGCCATTGCGATTTTAAGGAAGCATTTTCACATTATTTGCTCAGCAAGAATTGGACAGTGGCGGACAGGAAAAGAGGCCTACCGGCTTGCTCAAGAGCCATTTCTTGGCGGCTAGTACAGGTATGAAATACCCTTAATTCAGTATATTGCCTTTGCGTTTGCCTTAAGAGGATGAGTACAAATCAGGAATGAACAACAGGTACATGTATGTCGGAAAGACATCAGCTTCCCATTTTGTTTCACTGAAATGATCGGACTGATCGGCTTCGCCTTACTTTTGATTTTGTTTCCCAGCATCCTCGTTTAAATACTTCCAGCGTTTAGGACTGATGTGCTTGTCTTTCTGCATTTTAAAATCGAGCAATAACCTTAAAATTGATTCTGTCGAGTCTTTTATTCCACAGTGACGAGAATTTCCTTTCTTTTGAAAAGGCACTCTTAATAATCTATTATAAAGCCTTTGTGCAGAACACTCGAT